GGTGGGCATGGAAAACAAACGACTAAGGGTCATGCAGGGCGGTATACGTGGAACGTTCAAACAGAGTGAATTCAAGGGGAATTAGGGCAATAATGTGGGTCCAGGCGAAGGGTGATGGCTGTTGACAAAATGGACGTTACACTCCCCGCGAAAATCTGTCCCGGATTTTCCAGTGGTTGAGGACGACACGTTCTGTTCTGGATCGCCCTACGCCAACTCCATCCGCTATGGGAGGTCACAGGACTTACAACGGTACGCCTGATCCCTCCCACTTCGGCTGTTGGACTCACAGTGGTCCTCCCTGGAGCAGCAGATCCGAAGACCCGCCTCCCACCTGCGGAGAGCCAACAGCCGGAACTACATTCCCACCCGTGTCACTTCCTTCTAACAAACAGAGCTTACGCACGTCTCTTTTGTACAACCCTTCCTTTGTTCTGACAACAGCCGTCCTGACGAGCCCATCTCCAGAATCAGTGCAGCTCTCAATAACTCCCAATGGCCATGTTCCACGCGAGCTCGCTTCAGAAGAGACCAAAACCACGTCACCTGGTCTAAAATTTCGACTGCTGTGTAACCACTTTTGTCTCGATTGCAACAACGGCAAATACTCTCTGACCCATCTTTTCCAGAACAACGCAGTTAGGTAATTCACCTGTCGCCAACAGCGGTTATATTCTTCAGGCAGGGCCGTTAATATATGCGTTGCGTTGGATCGCAATATCAGCAAATCGTTAGGTGTAAGTGCCTCGCGGTCGTTGGGGTCCGAAGTTAGCGGTACAAGTGGTCTACTGTTGACGATGCGCTCCGCTTCAATAAGGAGAGTGTTCAGTGTCTCGTCATCCAACGTCTGCTGCCCTGCGACAGATAACAGGATCCGCCTAACAGACCTAATGATGCGTTCCCAAATACCACCTCTGTGACTGGCCATCGGTGGGTTGTAGTGCCACTGCACTCCTATACTCAGTAGCTTATCATTGATCTTTGCTTGTGACCAGCTCTTCATGGCAGTACGCAACTCAGTAGCAGCACCCACAAAATTGCCCCCATTATCACTGAATATTTCGGCCGGGGTCCCTCTGCGGGCAACAAATCGTTTCAGGGCCATGATAAAAGAGTCAGTACTCAATGTAGGTGAGAGTTCGATGTGTACGGCTCGTGCTTGCATACATGTAAATAGGCATCCATAGCGCTTCTCTTGTCTCCGCCCGTGTTTAACAATAAATGGTCCGAAATAATCCACGCCGACAAACTTGAAGGGGTGCCATCCCCGTTCCACACGGGCTAGCGGCAACGGTGCCATTAGCTGTTGACCGGCAGTGGCGAGTCTTTTTTGCATGTCCAACAAGTTCCTATTAACCGCTTTACTGCCGCCATTCCACGAACTATCCAATATTTACGGCGTAGACTCGCCAGAACTTGAGAAACACCTGCGTGACCTTCCAGCAAGTGATAAAAGCGGATCAACAAATCGGTGACAGTGTGCTTGGGAGGTAGTATAATTGGAAACTTAAAGGAAGCATCGTACTCCGAGTAGGCCAACCTACCACCTAGACAAAGCAAGCCATCACGCATTATTGGGTGTAGTCGCGCCAGAGGACCTCGCAGTATTTCCCCCTTAGGAGACGCCGAGTCCCCAGCTATCTTTTCGAGTCGTGTTAGTTCCGCTCGATAAAATTCGAGCTGCGCGATTCGAATGACGTCGTACTCGGCCCTGTGAAGTTCCTTTAGAGTAATTAACCGAGCATGTTGCAGCACTCCACTGGTTCCACACCTACGAGCATTCAGGTACTGCTTGAATCGAGACAGCCACACAACAGTCCTTAACAACTTAACCCAGTCTGAATACCCTTGGATTAGAGTAGACAATGGTGTTTCCTTTGAGGTTGCGTAGACCTGAACAGTAGAATGCTTCAGTTCTGCATCTTCCGGCTCGCAACTAAGGCAGAATTCGGGCCAATCATCGTTCTCGCTCAGCAGAAAATCTGGCCCGAGGAACCAGTTCTTTAAGGAGGCTAGAGATGTAGTACCTCTCGATAGCGGATCAGCAGGATTGCAACCGGATTTGACGTGTTTCCATTGGCTGGGTGTGGACAATTCATGGATGATTGTCAGTCGGTTGGCGACGAAGGTGCTAAACCTTTTAGATTCATCATTTATGTAATATAAGACCGTGGTAGAATCTGTCCAGAACCATACCTTTTCGAAAACTAACTGAGCCCTCTCGGTCACATCCTCATACAGCTTCGTTGCAAGCACGGCCGCCGACAATTCCAACCGTGGGATTGATACAGCCTTTAGAGGGGCTATTCTTGACTTAGCATATAACAATGAGCAGTATGCGATGTTCTCGGTGCGAAACCTAGCATAAGCAACCGCACCATATCCATTCTCTGAAGCATCACAAAAGATGTGCAATTGTGGCCGCTCTTCAGGCCCAGTGAACCTGCGAATGCACCGGGGTATCTTCAAAACATTTAGAGCCTTCATATCACTTAACCACGCACTCCAGATTTTTTCGTATGCGCTAGTGATCGGGTCATCCCAGTGCGCCTTGTCGCGACACATCATTTGAAGGAGTAACTTCGCGGGCATAATTAAAGGGGCAATAAAACCCAAGGGGTCATAAATGGACGATACCGCAGACAAGATGCCCCTTCTCGTTTTCGGCCTATCTGGTATTGCGAACTGATAAAGAAAGGCGTCCTCACGAGAATCCCAAGCTATCCCCAGTGTTCGCTTCACCGATCCAGATGCTTCAGCCAAAGGCTTGACTGACCCGGTGACCTCTGTAAAAGGAATCGCACTATACACCCCTTCGTGGCTGCTGACCCATTTACACAACTTGAACCCTCCTTTGCTCAGCATCTCCCTGATCTGTGCCACAAATTGCGTCGCTTCTTCAACAGTTGGTAGTGAGATCAGAAGATCGTCGACGTAGAAGTTATGGTGTACTGCTGCGGCTACACTCTCATTATAATGACATCCCCATTCGCTAGCTGTTCGACGCAAGGCAAAGTTGGCACAAAACGGTGATGAAGTGGCTCCAAATGGATGTGCCGTCATTTGATACTCGATCACTTCCGAGCCAATCTCGTCATCCTTCCACCAAAGGAAGCGTAGCGCACCTCTGTCACTCATGGGCACCTTCACCTGCATAAACATATCTTCAATGTCTGCAGAAACCGCTACCATCTCAACCCTAAAACGCAGTAGGACTCCAATTAGATCCGCGGTAGTGTCTGGTCCTTGAAATAGTTGATCGTTTAGGGAAAGCCCTTTGTGCCTTGCGGCGCAATCAAACACCACTCTAAGTTTGTCCGGCTTCTTTGGATTAATCACTGCGTGGTGCGGTAAATACCATTTTGGTGCATAGCCTGGTTGTAAGTGCGCAGGTGGCACCAAAACTGCGTATCCTTTAGTCCTGCTTATTTCCAATGCCGCCGTGTACCTTTCGCGCAATGTTGGATTGTTTAGTAGTCGTCGACTCAAACAGTGCAATCTGTGAAGAGCTGACCCATAATTATTTGGAACAACTGCTTGTCGATTTCTCCAAGGTAGAGCTATTTCGAAGTGTCCCTTCACTAGTCGTATAGAATTTTCAGCGATGGACAGTGCTGTCTTATCCTCTATGGAGAGGGAGCGGGCGCTGGAGCCGACACCTTCGAACCCACCATCATACAACATTTTAAGTTGTGCTTCTAGCGAATGATCATCCACTTGCACACAGTTTACGGAAGCGCAATGCTGACCACTCATGTTCACAGGCCCCAACAATATCCAGCCGAGTAGGGTTTTCGCGGCAAACGGGTGTTTCCTACCACAAGTACGGCGTTCAATTTGCCAATGTGCTTCGGGTACATCTGCACCTATCAATACTCGGACTCTGTTATCCGTCAGATCATCAAAGTGGATGTCCGATAAGTGTGGCCAGTGCTTTGCCAGCTGACCACAAGCGTTTCCCACTGATCGTAATGGCAAGCGCTTCAAGCAGTAGGCACGTTCAACTGTGACGTAGTCTGCACTTCTCAACGCCGACAAGCGGAAATTGGCCACACCTGCTTGCAAGGATGTAATACCACTTATTGTCTGCATCGTCAAAGATGTAGGGTCAACGTTTACGCCCGCCTCCTGCAAAAGGTCCTCCTGCACTAGCGTCACATCCGAACCAGTGTCTAACAAAGCATAAGTGTTAATTGACCTTAACGGGCCATCTAAACGCACTGGTACCACGCCCAGAGAGACCCTGTTGGGAGAGGTAGCGGCCGCATTACAAGTATTTGAGTAATCCTGGGGAGTAACAGGGGCTCTGTCGCGATGTAACAACGAGTGATGCCACCCCTTACACGTAGACAGGCTGCATCCTTTATTGCTGCGACAGCTTGAAGCTCGGTGACCCAACCCTAGACAGTTGTAGCATCCACCGGTTGTTCTGACAATTTCCCAACGAGCCGGGACAACCATAGCTAAGAATTTCTCACACGATGCTACACTGTGTTCGCCGCAACAAACTAGACAAGCCGATCCATTGGCCTTCTCTGATACTGTGTAAAGGGAGAAGTTCCTAGTTTTTCCCTGATCAGCTAATCTTGACGGCTGTGCGGTAGTCTGGCTTCGTGGTGTACTCGCGGTCGCTATTTGGCCGAATCTACTACGAGCTACTCTCGCCTCAGCAGCAACAAAGTCTCCCAAATCTCGAAATTCAACTTCTCCTCCGCGTTGAATTATAGCATCTGCCACCCTGGCCCATCGAGATTGCAAAGCATTGGGCAAACTACGAACCACTCGTTCAATGGTGGCTATAGAGTTCAAATCGGCCGTGAAATTCATCTGAGATAGAGCTAGATGGCAGTTTTCCATCTTCAGTGACAATTGCGACAAAGCCTCACAGTCGTCCCTAAGGGGCCTTAGACCAGTAAGCAAACCATCGATCAAGGAGCGAGCAATGACATGATTTTGACCAAAAAGATTTTGAAGAATGCATCGAGCCCTGTTATAAGCCAACTCTGGTGGAAGTATCGTGCATTCACAAATTGCCTCCTTAGCACGCCCTCTGCAATAATACACAAGGTACAGCAACCGCTGGCCGCTATCACTTACGCGACCCTCAACGAAGTATTCAAACTGTTTGATGAACCTCCAATAAGTCATCGGATTACCATCAAAAAATTCTAACTCGACTCTCGGCAGATCTAGTGGCGGTTGACAAGCTCCCAAAAACGGGTGGTAATACGGCATAGGGGTAACTGGAGGTGGCACTGCTTCTTGACAATCCTTCAAAAACTGACTCATACGTTCCTTTCTGATTTCAGGCACATGACTTGAGGTGGCGAGATGTTCATGGCTGTTCGCGCCCACTTCTATTTCTAACCGTAACTTAGCAATCTCCAGCTCAGTTTCGGCTTGCTTTCTCTTAAGCTCCGCCAGCCTAACAGCAGAACGTGCACTAACCGAACTTCGAGCCTGACTACCCTTACAGGTATTATGCGATCCAGAACAAGAAACATTATCGTCAACAACAGGCAAATATTCAACTTGCCGGGATCCAATCGTGTTCTGTTCAAGAATCATAGACGTCTTCTTTCGTGTTTCCATTGCAAGTCCAAAAGAGTGACGTCTTCAAACAAAGGATTGTTGAACACTGTAAGCTTCAAAAATCGCTTAGGATAGTTGGACAACGCGTAGGGCACCGATTCGCGGCCTCCGACAGGGGATCAATGAGCGACAAGGATCGGAGTTGGTGTGTAGGCACCGGAGAAACAAAAAAGCCACAGTCGATGCTGAACTACGGTGCTATTATACAAAGAGTAAAAGATCAAAGTGACAACATACTTCAACAATGTCCTCAAACAAAGACAAGTACAATCAGTTGGCCGTTACAAGAACAGGACATCAATACGGTCGTCCAGTCAGCAAAATGACCCAGCGCGGTTACATGACATGCGAGACATGCACCAGTGAGCCAATCAAGAAACCAACAGCCACTAGTCCAATCACATCAAGCAGGTTCAATGGGGGACACATTATGAAGACCTGAGGTTAGGGGCACATGTCAGCCGGATGGGTGGTGTGTCCACCCCACAAAATCTCCGGTCTACCCTGACCTCAATAGTAACACGCAAATGGAACAAGTGCGAAGCAGTGATCGATAAAGTGGAGCATGCATCAAAGAAAGTAGCGAGACAGGTGGTGTCACCAATGTAAGGTGGGCATGGAAAACAAACGACTAAGGGTCATGCAGGGCGGTATACGTGGAACGTTCAAACAGAGTGAATTCAAGGGGAATTAGGGCAATAATGTGGGTCCAGGCGAAGGGTGATGGCTGTTGACAAAATGGACGT